AATCTGGGGGGCACATGGCTCCCATACCCCCTCCCGGGGTGCACACAGCTGCAGGAGCCGCTTCTCCTCCCCGCCCCCTTGTGCCAGCCAGACAAACCATCCAACGGTCCATCCTGTACCCCACCCCACCCTGACTGTGCAGCCCCTGCCCCAGCCCCACTCCCTCCCTCACTGTGGTGGCCTCGATCTACGCCCCTCCACGTCCCTTCCCCCAACAGACCTACCAGTCAGATGCTGCTCTCCAAACTACTGGGCTGCATATCAGCAATCAGATTGGCATCAGTCAATATGGCTGGTTAATAATCGGCCATTGGTATTGGCCAAAAAATCTTTATCAGTGCACCCCTAATTTCTATCTGTTATTCAACAATTTATTTTTCTATTTGCAATAGCGCAATTCTTATGATGTTTGCATGGTAGCAAGTTTAGCATTGTTACTGAATACACTGTTTGAGCTCTTTCTTTTTTTTCCAATACTTTTAGGACATTTGTAAAGTACTGCAATCCAAATGAAAATTGGACTAGACTTCTTTCAATGGAAAGGAGCTTTCATAAGACAAAAAACTTCTGACAATTCCTGCAACTAAAGTGTTTTGTTTCCTGACATTTTGATTTGATTTTCTTAGAGCGTATTAGTAATTTGTCTCCTGCCTTCCATAAATTATAGTGTTAGGTCACCATCCTTGAAATTGAATAATTTTAGAATCTACCTACAAATAGATCTTGACATTTGTCACTTCTAAGACTATATGAAAACCTGCTCTTCAGAAACACACTTGGAAATGTGGTAATTTCTCCCAATTATCTGTACGAATACAAGTGCAAACTTCCTTTGATTATGACATATTAGCACATATTATCCAATTGCAAGGTCTTACCTTGTCAGTAGTCTCTTGAAACTGCACATCTATATACTCTGGTGGCAGAACAGGAATGTTAAGAGCAGACTGGGAGAGAGGAGGGACTGAGTGTATAAGTGAAGGTTCAGAGCCTTGACTAGAAGCTACAAAATGACCATTAGCTGCTTTGTGTGATGAAATATCAGGACTCCTCACTCCTGAGTCTTCTAGCTTCAAATGCTGTATTTCAGAAACTAAGCTCGGTGTCTCTGATGTGCTTGGATCTATAGTCACTGCACAGACACCATTAGAAACAGTTCTGAGGTTGTTGCTCATGATTTCTCTCTCTTTCCGCGATATAAATGCTTGTGTCAGGGCAAGCCAAAGTCCATCAATCCATGGATCAACTACTAGCTCCAAACTGAAAATAACAATGTAAACAAGGGGAAAAGATTAGTAAATGCACTACTAATTCTTAAGAATAAAAGACTGAAAGCATCAATGCCACTAGTTGTTTTCCATTAGGTACCCAAGGTGGTTGTTTACTGCCTCTTCCCCCACATATGACTTTCCCAACAAAGTTAATGTTCTCATTAACAACTGACATTTCACGTCGTATTTTTCACTACATGATATGCCTACTACCCAACCTGTATTCTCATATGAGGAAACATTTTCTAGTTACATCTTAAACTCTGTTACATATGTGACTTTCAGCAGTTTATTACAAACTACAGATATGACTAGAAGTTTGTTTTAAATAATGAGAGTCTTAGATCTATAGTGATGTCTGCCTGTTTGATTTTGTCCTGAACTCTGTTATACAGAGCCAATGAAAAATTTCAGTATTTTGAAACAGCTAAACCAAAGCTCTGGCCTCACATGCCAAAGAGGACAGAGAAGCAGGAAAGGAGCTGTTTTGTCACTGGTCAACCACCTCTCTCTAAAAGACACAAGAGAAAATGAAATCAGTGGGCCATCTTGTGGAAGAGAGAAAAAATACAGAAGTAATTTCAGGATGTGTTCAAACTAACCCTGCTGCTCTAAAAACACGGAAGATGCAGGCTATAAACAGATGTCACCAAATGAAGCAGATCAGCTGTGGCAAATCATGTCCCACCACAGCTGATCTATTTCATTGGAAGAAACACACAGTGCCCACTGTCCTCCACTGAGCAGGGACACAATCCTGTGGGACAACAGGCAACATGACCCCCACTTATAGATCAGTGCCTCAGAGCATTCCCCTCTTACAGAGGGGAAAGCCAGGGTTTGTGCTTGCAGAGATGCCCTGGGCAACCACCAGAGTGCATCTCCAGGCAGGAAAGCCTGGCTTTTCCTGCTTAAAAATATGCCTTGGAGCCTGCCCCGCTCCCCCAGACCATGCCTCTATAAGCAAAGAAAGCCTGGGCTTGCTGCTTACAAAGAAGAACTCCAGATATTGCCCAGGGCATGTGGGGAAAAAGCTGAGCAGGCTCTCCTGGAGCCTAGTCCTGCATGGAAATACCCAGGCTGCACAGGATCAGGCCTCTCAAGCTGCAAGAGTGCCTGCCTAAGGCAGCTAGAAAGCATGGGCAGGTCTGAACTTCATGCATTCTCACTCCATAAAGCAAACAGCCATCTATCACAATAAAGCGACAGACGCCATTACCACCTTTGTTGCAGCCACTAATTTTGGGGCTTTGTGATAAGGTGAGGGGTACGGACATGTTTGCTTGTGCCACCATAAATAAAATTTGTATGACAGCACAAAGGTGACACCTGTTTCCACCCGTACACTAAATAGAAGTTACATTACTTTACCTATTTGGTTATTTCAGACACTGGAGACAATGGAATTGGGATGGCTTTCTATTTATAAGAATGATTTTTCTTTGGTACACAGTGGACAATGATAACAGTTCCTTGACCTATAGTACACTGACTAGAAGGCTGAGCACATCAGTATCTAAGAAGAGAGGACTGAGCTCTGTCAGCTTCCATGAGAGTTGAGCAGAACTTTGGAAAAAAACAGCCCAGTCTAATCCCATGAAGATAAGTACCTTCCTTCTAGCCTGGACCAGTCTCAATGCTGCATGGTACTAAGCACCTGTAAATCTCATTGATTTCAGATGAGTGCGCAGCTATTAGGACATATTTATTGTAACAGAGGGAAAAAGAAAAGCACAAAATATTTCTGATCTTACCCTACACAGTCATCTGCCAGTCCAGTCTCATAGAAATGCTGGGAGCCGAGTTCCTGAAGTCGGCGATCTACTATCTTCCCACCATTACAAAAGAATGTATACTCAGAATCTCCCAGACCTGAACAATCCATGTGAAAGAGGGATTGTATTACCCAGTCAGATACACAGATTTACCTAAGCACTGGCTGTGAAAAACTAAGTTTCTCAGATGTGTGCGTGCATGCATGCACACACACGCAAGTAAGTCGAGACAAAATGAAGCCCATGCACGTACAACTTGAAATTGGGGTTTGCACTAAACTACAGTGTAAACCTTAACAACTTGAACTTGGCAAGCATGTTTCTCCTGCAACAGTGGCTGTCATAAAAATGTAAGGCCCTATCTTCAGGCAATGTTTTAGGTGTTCTAGTATCAAACTGTTGTCAGAGAAAACACAAACCCGTGAACCAACTAAAAAATAAAAACTAGGTGGCAGACTTCATGAGTCTGAACAAGCACTATAGCTTGGGTAGGGGTGTCAAATTAAACATGAGACAAAGTAAAAAAACATCACATAGATATGAAAATTCACAAATGAAATAATCTATCCCCAACCTTCTGCCTTGGAACCATCAAAAATATTAGGGGAAAAAAACCCATATCCATCCACAAGACCTATATCCCTAGTCTCAGCAGCCAGAGCAAAGATCCAGCCCAGGGTCACAGAGAATGTCTCCTTTTAATTGCACTCTGCTATTTCACACTTCTATCTTTGAAACAGCAATGAAAAGACTTCATTTCAAAGATACATTTTCATTATCAATTAAAGAATTTCATTCCCTAGTATTCACAGATGGGGTATGCATTTTAATTATGAATGTATGTATGTATGTAATTATAGAAGCATGTTCAGAGAAAGAGCCAACATTATTTAAAGCACACAAGCCTTGTAGGCAGAGGTCATAAAAGCAAAGGGCAGCATAATGCTGAAAATGTCAAATACTTATGCATGAAAAAACAGTTATAAAAAGTTCTGTTTCACACTCAACTCCCCATCTGCAAGAGGTAAAAAGTACAGTGTCTTCTTCAAGCATAATGACCATGGCTGTATATTACTTGTATCTCTTAAAAGCCTCTTATCGCTAAAAATAAGCTTTAGAATTTACAGATGAAACGTCATTCTTCAGCCTGACAGACTGAAAAGTTGGCAGCACTCTTAACAGCAGAATTAAAGCTGTTAAAGTGACCTTAGCTATGCATTTCCAGAATTGTTTCCTTTTTACACTTCAATATTCTTTAAGGCTTTTTCACATTAGGATACTGACAAGTGTTAACAATTTTAACCGTAGTTTAATTAACAAACCCCATCTGATGTTTCTAGGCATCACTACTGTTGAAATATAACATGATAAAAAGAGCATTAAGCATTTTCAAATCAAGAAAAACAGCAAAACTTTTTATTACACTCCAACATCTCCAAAATTGACTTAGTCCACTTCAAATTTGGAAACAGATATTTTCCCAACCGTATATTTTTTAGATCAATCTTAAAAAGGAAAAGGCTACTGCAAAAAATTAAGGGACACATTCAGCTTGAAATAACTGATCAGGTTTAAAAAGATAATTTAAAAATATTTTATAGTCCATCTACCCCCATATGTAAAAATGACTAGTGACCATCTGTAGGCAAAACAGTCATGAAACCAGGCAACCATTCTTATTTTTAAAGGGATTTAAAACTCATCTGAAATGTGAATGAAGAATTTGACAAAAGAAGTTTTAATCATCCTGGATTACAGTTCAGTTATAAAAAAAACAAACACACACACAAATAAATAGTTATTCATTTCATACATTCAATTTCAAGTCTGGTTAGTTTCATGACAAATTAGTGCTACGCTGCTTCAGAATAAAGGTGCAGAAGCACCTAATAATGTAAGAATGGCGTAAGACATTCATTTTAGAAGAAGTTTAAAAAAACAGATTCCATATACATGGACACACTATTTGCTGATAACAATTAACAAGTACTCGAAGGGGGGCTATTGGAAATACTGCATTACCTAACAATGCATATTGTAGGTGTGCAAAATAATCAGCTGGCAAGGTCTTGTTCTGAATTTTCTTAATAAACTTGCGTGCTGTGTCTGGAGGGTCCCCAGTTCCAGTAGTGGAGACAACAATAACCACAGGGTCCTTTTCTGTTTCCAAGTTATACTGAAAATAGTGGAAGAAAGCAAATGAAAAAGTGTCCCACAACACACATACTTAGAACTGTCAAGAAGTTTTTCCTGGAAGTGTTGTCTTTTACACTTCAATAGTCTTTCATTTTCACTTTTGCCCCTTCCCTGTTCCACATTTACACTTTTACCCCTCTCTCCTTTCACCACTCCCCTTCCCACTCCCACCTTATCTATATAAAAGTATACAAAGCATTCACAATAATTACACAATATTTTTGCACTGCAAGTTTCTCTCACTTAACTCTTTCACTTGTAACTTCCTGTTTTTAACCTAATATACAGAACAACTTGACTTTGGCTATGAAAGCACAGGATGCGACACAACAAACCCTTTTAATTCCATGCCAGCCATATGCATGATTAACCTAAAGAATATCAATACTTTTACACAAGAGTTGAGCACCCATTACTCCATAAGATTTTCATTTTGCACACAATCATGAAAATATGGCTATCTATATGGCATTATATACAAGTAATTCTGCAAAATCTTATGAATCAGGATCATCAGAGTAAAATGCTTTTACAAAAGTAACCACATACCGTATTTACTCAAATCCAAGACAACCCTGTATTTGAGATGCCCTCCCCATTAGATTTTATACATGGAAAAAATTATAAATGTGTTCTATTTTTCCATGTATAAAATCTAATTATTGGAGGATGGTCTTAAATTCACTACCCCCACCACTGCAGTGGGGAAAGCAGTGGGAAGGGAGCAGGCAGTGGGGGGAGGCTGTAAGGTGTGGAGGTTCAAGCAGCTTGCCCCTGCCACCTGTCACCCCACCACTTGCCTGCCCCTGCTGCCATTACTGCTATACGGCTAGGCTGGGGCTATGCTGTAAGCCCCAGGCTGGAGTAGGGATGGAGCCTGTCAGTACCAAGGCAAGGGTAAGCAAAGGGGAAGGGAAGGGAAGGGAAGGGAAGGGCAAATAGGGGAGACATGGGAAGAGGTGGCATGAGGGCAGGCAGAAGCTGTGGCTCTACCCTCAAGTCTGGGTTGGGGCCAGAGGCAGAGCCACAACAGCTGCCTGCCCCCCCCATTCTAAAACAAGGGGCTGCCCCTCATGTTAAATGGAGGGGGAAAAAACCGTCCTCTTAGAATCAAGTAAATACAGTAAATTCTGTGTAAGTAAATGTAACTGTACATTTAGAATAAAATTTTCAACAGGTGCTCAATCCAACCATTATCCATCCATATACGTACAAATACTTAAGTGCAAAATTCTAAGTGCACTATTATTTGCACTCAGTGCTTTGAAAACATGGATCATTACAGCATTTTACCTCCCACTCAGCAAAGGCATCCGCTGCAGATTAAATCATTTTGTGTTACAAGCGTTGCTTTCACATGGAGCATTTCATGAACTCAGGTGTTTATTTATGTCAATTTGTAAGTTTCTGAGTGAAAACAATTCAGTTTGCTTGATGATTCCAGCTGTCTACAGAAAGAGAAATGTGGTTGCAGCTACACTGAGGGCTTAACAGGAGAAGTATCAATTGTCAGGTTTATCAGGCATGATATATCCTCTAAAGTTCAGAGTTTGAGTGCAGGGTAAAACTAGAACCACATAAACAGCTAACACTGCAAATGAAATTGTGGTTTAGACATGTCTGAAGTATTTTAGGTGTTCATTTGTTTTTTTAAGTCTCAATACTGAGGTTATAAGCCTCATAAAGGGTTCTTCTTACAGAAATGTTGCTGTATCAATTCAATTTTTAGCCATGCCCTTTCTAATTCACACATGTATGGCAAAGAAAGATAATAAAATGCTTTGCTCATTAGAACATTTCCAATATAAGTGCTGAAACTGTATTAAGAACAGTGTTCAGATGTCATTTATACTCAACTCTACTACGCATGCAAAGTTACCTATATGATTTACAGGAGGGGTGTCAAACATGGCCTGCAGAGCCAGGCCGTCTGGCCCCAGTGCTGCCTCTGAGACCCACATGAGACACAGCGTGTGCCTGTGATACACATGCCAAAGCAGCTGGAATGGATGTTGTGTGCAGTGCAGCTTGGCTAGAGCAGCAGCTGTACTGGTGACCGCCCTGGATAGATTGCACCCCATGCAACACTTGCTCTGGGATGTGTTCTACACACAGTACCCACTCCAGGTAGTCCAGGACCCATGCTGCCCATAGCACTTGTAGGCACCACATGCCACACAGGTCCCAGACTGGCTGGAGCTAGCACACACCACATGCAGTGTAGATGCAGAGGTGCTGGAGTGGATGTCACATGCAGTGCAGTCCAGCAAGAGAGAGCAATGCACTCATCCGGCACCTGTTCTGGGTGCTCTGGGATCTGCACCACACAAAGTCAGAATCATAGAATCACAGAATCAATGAGTCAGAAGGGACCTAGACAGATCATCTAGTCCGACCCCCTGCCATCGGCAGGAAGGAGCACTGGGGGTGGCAGGGGTCATAAGACCCCAGCCAGGTGCCTATCCAGTCTCCTCTTGAAGATCTCCAGGGAAGGTGAGAGCACCACCTCTCTGGGAAGCCTATTCCAGGCTCTGGCCACCCTTACAGTGAAGTAGTTCTTCCTAATATCTAACCTAAACCTATCCTCCCTCAGCTTGTGGCCATTGTTCCTGGTGACTCCAAGGGG